CGAGTTCTTAACCATCGCGCCACTCGGCCGGCCCATGCTTTTTTTTTGTGACTAGCTTGTTTTTGGACTGTCCATATTTTTCTATTCTGTTGGTAGTTTTTGCCTTTTTAATTTATAAGAATATTTAAGAACATTTAAATATTAAGTATATTAACTGTACATCTGCTATATATATCACAAACATTCTTTCCTTGCTTATGTCTTTAGCTTTATTTATGGTGTTATGCATAGAGAAGTTCTACAGCCTGTGATCCTCTGTAGCTTGTTGAGGATCTCCTTGTTGACCCGTTCTTTGTCCAGTGGCTCCCAAGGCTGAAGCCTCATTTTGGCCTTATTCCAAACCATCTTTGCTCATCCCCCTTCACCAGGCTGCCCTGTATGGTGAGATTTACTCCACCTCCAGTAATGAGGTGGTCCCTGTGATATCTGTGTAGGCATCACTGGTTTGTTCTGTTTATGGGCTATTGGAGCAAAATCTGGAAGGGGAATAGAACATGGAGCAGAAGAAGGGTCAATTGTTGGTTTATCCCCACCTCTCACACATTCTCCTAGAAGCACTGCATTCGGCGACATCCTGCAAACAATTATGAGACATCTACCATGTGTCAAACACTTTGGAGTAGGCGAAGTGCCCAAAGAGTTCACAATCTAAAGTGTGCATAAGTGCCTGTGGGGGTGAGCACGTGTGTGTGTGTGTGTGTGTGTGTGTGCGTGCGCACGCGCGCATTTGTGTTGTTTAAACCTGCGCCCAACTAATCACAATGCAATGTGGTAGGTGCTACAGGAGATATTAGCAAAGAGCAAGGAGAGCAGAGAGAAGGGAATGCTTGAGTCCTCCATTCCTTGGCTGATGTCAGACTTCCATTTTCAGTAGGAAACTGACAACTGTGTTGGCAGCATGTTGTTGAAGAAGTACCTGACAACACATCAAGAGATTTGAGTCTCAGCCTGTTCTGCCACTAACTAGCTGGGACACCTTTTTTCTGTGGACCTCATTTTCCTTTTTCTGGTAGCAGGAGGGTGGAATCGGCTCTCCACGGTTCCATATGAAATGCTGTGATTGCTTCTCTTCGGTAGATGAACAATGAACAGTAACTGGCAGTCCCATGTGTTACCAATCACAGCACATACTATTTTTGAGCCAAAGGACACCTGAGAAGTCATCTGGTACAACCCTCTTAATTTTCAGAGAAGGAAACCAGCACCCAGAAGGATAAAGGTTTTATCCAAGGTCAGACCCATTATTGGCACCCAGGCCTCCTCACTTCTGTGCAGGTGAGTTACTTGAAGCCAGGTGTTAGACTAGGAGGACAGAATTTGGTTGCGTTGCTGGATTAAACGTCCAATAGAATTGGACTCAACATAATCAGCATAAAACAAATGCAGGCAGTCCAAGGGGATCTCAGGTGAGATACATTCCCGTGAGCAATGAACTGGACGTTCTTGGCACCAGGGCGTAAATGTGATTGGGGAAATAGCTGTGAATGCCATTCTTTCTGTGCCCCAGAAGTGTCACCTTTCTCGGGAATGTGATTAGCTGGGTGTTGAGAAACATAAAAAAGCATATGAATTAGACTGGTAGGTGCTGAAAAATTTCCCTTATTTATTTCAGAATAAGTAACATGTTTACAGCATGCTATAATTATTATTTGAACTCGGTGTTCTCTAACACTTGACTTGTTTCTTGATTTTTATCAGTAACTTCCAGGTTAAAGTTAAGCACAGGGTCAATTAGTGTGAATTGCTCTCAGCAGTATGGCATGCTGGACAAAAGAGAAAGAAAGGAACAGAGACATCAAACACAGTGCTAGTTTAAAACTGATTAATTCTAGAAAGACCAAGTTGTTCAATATTGAGTCTAGGCACCAAATTCACTTCTGCAACTCTGACTTGGCTCTCAGTGGGCCCCCTTCTCATCCCCATCCAAGGACAGCATGGACAGCTGTGGGAGTAAACAGGGTGTGACTCTGGCTGTGGGGCTCGGATGCCACACACTAGATTCTCTCTCTCATTGTGGCATTTGAAGTTGAGATGCACACGTTGGCTTTGCTCCTGGGCAACTGGGAGGTTGTGTGGGGTCACAGGGCTTCTCACATGGGTGCCCTTCCCAGTGGACTCATTTCCTTCTAGGGTAGAAATGATGCATCTTCTTTTCCCCTGGGGATTCCTCAGACTTTTCCAAATGACCAGGTGGGGTTTTCCCTTGGATTGACGCTGTATTTGGGGGATGACTTCTATGGGGGAAAGTCCACCATCAGCTTCATGGAGGGTTTTTCTATTATTGGGTAGTTGGAAACTATTGGGTTGTCAGAAAATTCATGATACAAAATATATGTCATGACTCTTCCAACAACCCAATATTTGTGGGTAGATTTTTAAGTCTCTATATTTGTGTGTATGTGTCTAAACACACACACACACACACACACACACACACACACACTGCAAGATGTGTTTCTCTGCTTCTTTTTACTTTTATCCTGCTAGTCATTCATTTCTTCACGTGACAAATATATACTGAGTGTCTGCTCTGTTCCAGGCACTATCTCTGTACTGACAAGATGAGTGGTTGGTCATGTGACTTAAGGATCTGGTAGCACTTTGGAGTAGCTCCCTCTAAGACAATTAACTTTAAATAAAAATAAGCCAGTAGCAAGCAGTAATAATTTTAGAGTCATAAAAAGAATGAGAAATTTATAATATCCAGGTACAATACCCAGCACAAGCTTTCTTAGCTATGAGATCATGACTTAATTAATGTAGTTGATTTTTTCCTCAGAGGACAGGAGTTCTGCTTAGGAGATAGAACCTGATTCCTGTGGTACTATAAGGATGATTCAAACTACACCAGCCCCTTCAGATAAATGCTAAACCTGTTATATTTTTCAACTCCAGAAGATCCTATAACTTTTATACATGAATTATCATTGATAAAAAAAAATTCGATTCTATGCTTTTGGCACTCCTCTCAGTAAATTATGTTTTTCCTTGTAAATGCAAACGTCTTTCATTTACAGCCCAAAGCCCTGCCTTTGTCTTTTAATCCCTAGAGCACTATAATCCAGATTTCACTACCCTCTTGGGGGCTGTTTTCTATTCTAGGTATTTAGTTTTTCCTCAAAGAACTGTGATTCACAAGACTCACCGAAGGCTCAGATGTGGATAAAGATTATTACATATCTAATACTTGCTACACATGAAACATTCCACATGGAAATTGTTTTAACAATTCATAATCACATTACATTATTACTTTAACGCTTATTTGAAGACAGAAGAAACATTTAACACTATTAAACAGACAAGCTTGACAGGAAGTGATGGAAAGTCTCATCTTGAAGAGACACAGTGGTGGGCTAACTCCAAATATTCTCAAAAGGAATTTTGAAGGAAATGCTTCAGTAAAACTGTACATACACACCAAAAAATTAGACTGAAGGGCAACTAGTTAAGTAAGGTATAAATATAAAATTATCATATAAAACGGTACTGAGTAAGCACATTTCCACCCACACAGGGCTCGTCTCAATAATTACGTCAAGTAAATATCTGTTTCTTACTAATTGTCAGGAAAAAACTATCCTGCTGGGGCTTTGTGTTTCTCCTCCTATGCTGGAAGTAGGTAATATGTTGGATGGAATTTAAGTTGCTAACAATGGACAAGATAGAGATTTGAAATTTTAAACCGAGTATCCTTTGGAGAACCATTTTTATCTCAGTTTTTAAACACAGTGTATGTTTTGGACTTCCCGGTGTTGACATGAACTCCTGAGACTAGGATGTAGCGCTGTACCAGTGAGGTCTTGAATTCCAAATGGAATTTTGAGTGGTTTAAGTGCAGCTCTGCTGGAGGCAGGGAAACATTCTAAAGGACTTATATTCTAAAAGCAATTTTCTTTTAAATAAATGAGGCAATCAAAAGAGAGGTACTACCGCAGGCAGCAGACCAGAGGGCAGGGTTTTTAGGTTCTAAGAGAATTGAACATAATGTTCTTCATCTGAAGGTCAGTGGATACCTTACTAAGTCTTTAAAATTACAATTTTGAACAACAAAATCTTAAATTAAAACAGAGGAAAATCCCATAATCTCACTGCCTATTCAAATAAACTATTTTCAATTTTCTGAGTTTATCTGTTACACAAATTAATATAATCATAGGATAGATAAGAGTTTGTACTTTTTTTTCTATTAATATTATGGTAAATACTTCCCTTTAATGATTATATCATATTCTGATAATTTCTTAACTATTTCTGTTATTGTAAATAAAAACTGTTTCTAATTTTTGCCACCATGAGTAACATTACGATGCCTATTTCTATGATTACAACTTCTTTTTTTAGTGGAGAGATTATTCCTGTAGGGAGAAATTGCCAGGAGTGAGGTTACATGATCAACGCCTATGAATATTTTTATGGCTCTGAAATGTGTTGCCAAATTGCTTGCTAAAAAGGTTGTACCAAATGAAGTTGGCTCTTAATTAAAGGTCAGATTTATTTTGATACAAGATCAACATTTGTGTTACACTAAACTAACCACTTACAACTGGTGAGAAACAAAACCTATCATTTCTTAACATATAAAATATGAATATAATCCAGGAATCATGCCCAAACCTGCCGTACTGTGGATGAGCCAGGAAATCACCAATCTCATTTCTGTTCATTTTGGTCATAATTATAAAGTTGATCCCTTCTTCTGGAAGTTACCTTTTGGACAAGCTGTGGCTAAGCCTCAGGTATGAAAATCTTCTTTTTTTTTTGTCCCAGCACTCATGGGAGGACTGAGGCCGTAATTTTTTTGTATATACACATGATGAGCTTGATTTTATTTTATAATCTCCTTTGTTTGATGGGATTAAGAATGAAGATTATAGCAGTTCCCAAACTCCCTGGAAACAATGTGGTTTTCCTTTTAATAAATAAGGCATTCAGATTCTGATGTATCGTTTAAAAATACTGCACACAAGCAATTTCTTCTGCAAAATGTCAGTTGCATAATTTTGTTTTCTTGGTTTAGCAGATACATTTCATGAAAGGGCTAAAATCAATACATGAATGCACCCAAGGAAACTGGAGCCACAGGTGACCTATGAGAGAATGGATCCTTTCCTTGACATAGATTTAGCTTAAGCAATCACAGGATCTGAGATTACGTGTTTTAAAAATTGCTCTAGGATGTCTTGGTCTCAGCAAAAGTGACTAAATCCCTTCCTCTCCTCTTTCTCCAACATACTTAAAGTCTTTGTGTAGAATTTGGAATAAGACCATTTATTAGTTATTCCACAAACAGAACACTCACTTGCATTTATTCTTGGATTTGTTTTCTTACATTTACATTTGACTTCCCTGTCTTGAGTACTGATTTAAACTTCCGTGAAGATCAGGACATCTACTTATCTAATGTAATGGCTGCCTCTTTTTCTTAATATCTCCAGGCATATCTTTATGGATCACTGAAAAAGACAATATCAGTTCTCAAATGACACAAACTATGGCAACCAGAGAGATTTTATCGGGTGGAATTTTTAATGTTGGGGTGGCACCAAAGAAGTTGGCAAAAGAGAACAGGAGAATGGATGTGACAATCCATATTTTCCTGTTGCTGTCCTGGTCGCAGTAGCCGGCATGGGGGATGGGCACTCATCTCAGGATTATTAGTGAAATAAAAGAAGCCCTAAAGAGCAGTGGTTTAGGCACATCCTCTAGAGTCAGAAAGACCTGGAGTTTGTGTCCATTTCCATCCCAATCGCTCTGAGACTTTGGGCAAGATCTTTAACTTCTCTAACCTCAGATTTACCTTCCATACAATGGAGTTAATATCTACTTTTCATAATTACATGAAAACTTTCAAAATTACATGAAAACGTTCCTTTCCAATCTTCCTCTTGATGGTGGCTCCTGACTGATGGCAAGCAAAGGTAACTGATGTTTGAGAAAAAAACATGACTTTGTATCATCTTTTAATTTTACCTTTGGTATTGTGGACTTAGTGAAAAAACTCCTTATATAATGAAATATTTAGTAAGTTTGCAGGATACAAAGCCTACATATAAAACTCAATTTTATTTCTACAAAAGAGAAACAAACAGAAAGTAAAATTGAAGAACTATTCATTTATAAGAGCATTCAAAAACATAAAATACAAATAAATTTAACAAAAGATGTGTAAAGCTCTACACTGAAAAGTTGAAAATATTGATGAGAGAAATTAGAGAAGACCTAAATAAATGGAGAAATATATAATGTTCATAGATTGGGAGATTTATTATTGT